TTTTTTTTTTTTTTTTTTACAGTTAATCATTGTCACCATTTTGAGTTTTAGTGTTTGGGGGAGAAAACAAAAGAAATATGACAATTGTTTTTGTATGTGATTTAAACTTTTAGTGTTCAAGCAGAGATACTGTAGATTTACTTGATTTCAATAAATTACTGTCTCATCTGCAGTTTTCAGTCTTTAAACTTACCCATCAGTTTCGTAGCATTTTATCAGGACAGTTTGGTCACCACAATTCATCAACACAGATTTGGTTTATTCTGCATCACATTAATGAAAAAACAAACAAACAAACCGACAGAAAAAGGAACAAATTTAAAAGTTTAAAAGGCAAAAAATAAACCTGGTTCCAGTTATTGCTAGCCTAGAACATGTACAAAAGCGATGTTCCTTTTATTTTTAATGCCAGAACAAAATAAAAAAATAGATTTTGAAAAGTGATAACCACTTGAAATAACGGCAACCGTTTTCTTCGTAGAAAATGTTGGTACAAAATGAGAGCATTCGGTGAATTCCAAGAGTTTTTCAAATTTTCTAAAAGCCTACGTTGAGACGTCTTTCATCACTCTTAACTGCCTTCATCTTACATGGAAGGCTCCATCATTTCAGTTCAGAATGTCATCAATTTTTCACTCCTCCATTGTTAATTGAACAAATTTTTCTTTTTTTTTTTACTTTTCTATTATGCGTCTTTCGGGTAAAGCTATCGTCATCTTATTGTCTTCTGACAGTATGATAAACGAGCTTTTATTTAATAATATCGTCTCCTTGGTTACCCAGCAAGCCTTCATTGCTTTTTCATTTCACCATTATCTTCTTTCTAACTATAAGACGAATACAGTACACCTGTGTACTTTTTGTTCCTGAGATATTACCCGAGAAACCACCGTATCGCCAAAAATCATCGCTATACATTTATGATTACTATGATTATTATTGTTACTTACAAAAAATTATCCTCCGTTATAAAATTACAAAAACCATTTGATGAACATTCTACATTCAACACAATGAACCACTCTTCTAAACTTTGGGTATCTGGTAGTGTATCTTTTAAGACAGAAAATTTCAAAAAAATGTTACATGAGATAGTAGTGATTGAAACAATGTCTGAAGATGCAAAATAGGATATTTAACTGCAGGAACCAGCTGTGCATGAACAAAAGCTCAACTTTCTACGAGCACATGCAACCGAACTGAATCGTCGAATCATTTCATTAATGGAAAGTAGTGATCGCGGTTTCCCAACTCATATTAATTTACAGGTGCTTTCAATCAAATAAATTTTCCAACCTTTCCCTTTGTTGCAACCCAAACTTTACTCCTTTTCAACATTAAAAAAATCCAAAAACTGGTTGTTATTTTGATTCCAGGTTCGGACACAATTACCACAACCAGACGACAGTCGTGCACAGCAGCTTGAAAAACAGAATAAATTACTATATCAGGTCAGAACTTACAATAATTTAGCCGTGATCTTTAAATACCACTACTTGCACATTATTAATTTGTAGTGAGAAATTTTTTTCCGACAGCCCAATAAAAACTCAGCAAAAAACAATTATGCTATGCATCCATCTATAGTTATTTTTGATTTTGTCAATGTAGTTTATCACTATCATTGCTACAGTCAAAGTAAAACAGTTTAGTCTTCCTGGAGTCATTTTCTTTCACTAAAATCTACTTATGATCACCAGTGATATAAATAATATTTCCTTTAGGAATTGGCTGAAAAAGATCGAGTCATTGAAGCCTTGAGAAGAGAAAATGCAGAAGCGATTGAAAACTACGAAGAACTAAAAAAATTACATCAACAAAAGTAAATTTTTGTAATTAAATGTAGTTGTAATTAATTTATTGACCGTTCAAAACTACCAATTTTCTAACTCTCGTTCTGAAAGGTCAAACGGTAGTTACTAAAAATAATACTCATCGCGCTCTTCACGACCAGCAATAAACAGTAATGCAACTAAATTTAATTGCAGGATTGCAGCTGTAAGTTCTAGACCAGCAGCCATGGTACGTCCCGCGCTGCATCAGAAAATTGCTTACAAGCAAGCTCCGTCACCCATCAAAATTCATGACACTCTGATGTAAGAAAAAAAATCACCGGTAGTATTTGCATGAATAAAAGGTGAGCATTTCTGCAAGATAAAACCTAAAGGGACAAACTTTAGTTACCCGCTTTGTTCACCTTGACATCAAAAAAAACGACAATATACCTACGGATATTTTCCAGGATCTAAAGTTCCTTTCTACTTTTACCACCTATTTTCTTAAGCGACTGAAAATAGGTAATTACACCTGCTCACCAAGAATGTACTAATTGGTCTCACAATTGTAAACGGAAGTAGTCTATTCAGTGTCTCTTTCCTGTTCTGCTACTATTCACAACCAGTTACTGGCATATAATGTCTTAAAATCTTGTATTTCTGCAACAGTTTCATCTTAAGAGATATGCTGCCGTGCTCATCAATCTGAGATTGTTACCAATGAATTATCCACAGCAGCGTCGCCAAATTGAACAAATCAACTAAGCATCGAATAGTTCCTTACAAGAATCTTAGCTATAACTTCTTAGTAGTAATGAGACTCGACCGCTGTCAACAGTTACTGAAAGCAAAAATTTTGACGACAAAAAAATGATGACTAGATATTTAGTGCCGGTAAGTTTGCTTACAACCAACAGACTTGGACCAATGTTCTTCTAACAACTTTGGGCATAACTACTTTTTTGTCATTCGTCTTAATAGCGTTCGACCGCTTTCATAAACTATCATCTAAATTTACCAACTCGTGTGTGGTCTATACTTGATGGTTAAAGGCCTAGTCGAGAAGCAAAAATATAGATAGAATTTAAAGGAAAATAACTATAACAAAAGTTCTATAGATGATAAACTAATTGAAACTTTAATTTTCCTGCTCCTAGTCATTTAACAAAACTTCTTCCCGTTGTTCTCCTTTGATCAACCCCATCTGACTCGTTAAATGCTTCAAATACTCTGTATGTTCTTACACCTAAAACTGTAAAATTTGTATTCGTTTATGTGAATAAAATTTACATAAAACAAATGAAGCACTTCTTATTTTTATGAAATAAAATTCCAATAACTGAACAAGATCTGCGTCTACACCACTATCAACTGCAAAAAAAAAAATTGTGAATTACCAATCACTTTTGCGAAACAAATAATAATAACGTGTTCAACAACAAATTATTGCTTTTATACAGCAGAAGAAGGAGATATCCACCTCGCTTTTTCAATTTTTCTAGTGTATAGACTTCGTAAACAAACTAAAATTCATAAGAACCTAGCTGTAAAAAACTGAAAAAATTAAGTCTAGTAACATAAATGCTAAGAATGATCCGCATAAACTTACTCCCTCTTTCATAGTCCTGACTAAATTCTAGACACAATAAACTGTAGAAGAAACAAGCTTTTTAAAACAGAGTTCCGAAATCACAGGTAACATTAAAAGGAATGAAAACATTCTGATGTCTCTTACAGTCGTGACAACAAAACACTGAACTAACCACGGTCTACAATTAACTCCTTTGCTTACTCATACGAGTAAACCTTTTTACAAAACAATTAAAAATTATTGTAACCATATGCGCATTAAACAAATATAACTAACAAAAGGAT